TTTACTTCTATTTGTGTGGGGAAGAAACTACGTAAGTAATGCGTTCGTATATTGACACACGCGACGGAAATAAAATTTCGGAGTCATTTCAACTGGCTGTACTGTGTGGCAATCTTTAGCTGGTGATGTCTCATGGAGGCATTGTGATTCGGTTTCAGAAAATGAAGTCAATTATGGTTTAGATTCCTCTGGATCTGATGCGTACTTATCAAAGCAACATACAAGCGCTTAGATTGTCCACTGCATTCCACAAGTTTTGTTTGATCGCCATAAGTTGTGACATTTCAAGTGAGGCAAGGTCGTGCTTGTGCCAGGGCTGCAAACCGTCGATAACCTATTCGAACGGAGCCTAGTGTAGGCGTTGAACATCTGAATATAGACATAATGGGCAACTCGTCCGAATGCCTTCCAAAATAGGTCGATACTGGTTGACTTTACTTGCTAATTTCTTGACATGATAGGAATAACAAAGGTCATGTTTTGCCACCTCGACGTAATCAGAGATAAGCTGGGAAGCGCAGGCGTTCTCTGCAAAATGCTCTGCATAGAAGATGTAGTTGAACAGCACTGCAGCATATTTGTTGCGGCCCGAAGGACTATCTACCTATACCGTTCTGAGCATAAGCTTCTGGTTTGTGAGAATATATTATCCGTGATACCTGGTTTTCCCCATCCTGTTTCTATTGCGAGAAGCAGCGTGGTTGTAAATTGGTAGCCCCATGATTGACTCCCTCAATTCCATTATGAATTCTCCATCGAGACGGGCTGGGGTTTCTGGAGCTTGACGATTAGGGTCACCAGCCAGGACAGTATTACCGTATTGCTGTGTGAGAACAGTTTTCAGAGTGGAGGCTGGACGATTGTCTATTTCGGAAATGGACAACGTACGACGGTACACGACACCCACTAAACATGTGTCACCATGTCTCAGATGAAGAAAGCACCAAAGCCCATCAACATTCCGCATCTCCGGGTCAATAATGAGATGAATATGTAGTTTACTGCCGCATTAGAGAAGTACATCACCTTCTTCATTCGGTCGATCTTGGCGTAGAATAGACATCCCGGGTAGTACGATTTCGGTGCTAATAACCATTTCAATCAATTACGTCTAGCTTATCATGATGAGGCCCAATGACACTGAGGTCTGACGCAGCCGGAACGCTATCAATTTGCTGAAAATTCCTTGTGCCTTGGTATAAAAATTAGCGAGAGCCCTGTGCGTCTAAATTTTTGTGGAAGATGTAGACAGCAGCTGCGAGTTAGTTGCTATTCGCTTTTTTAGAACGCGTGGGCTCTCGAGATGGAGCTGCGGTACATTGCTGCAACTGACACTCCACGTCATAATGTACATGATGTTCATAAGTATCCTGTGATGTCCCTCCGGATGCTATGCTGACAATGAGATTGGTCTATTGCTGGACTTCAAAGGGAATAATTCCAATGAATTTGCCACCCACATTTGGTAACCAGTGGCCTCTTGCCTTGTCCTTGCTGTCCTCGGTCGAATTTGTGTTGGTAGATTGTTACCCAATTAGATTGTTACCCAATAATCTAAATGTGTCTTTACATCAGACCACATCCTTAATAATTATCTGGAACGGAAATATTTGCCAACAAAGAAGCAACGATATACACTAGAGACAGTGCACCCGGATGTAGCACCATTGCTCCCGGTCAAGCGCCTGAGCTTCGGCAGTAGAGAAAGCCTGAGCCTCGGGAACACCATGAACAATGACGGTTTTCTGATCACTGTGTTTTCAACATCCCTCTTGGTTATTCGTATTCGTTCAACTTTTCTTCTACTGAATATCCACCAGTATGTCTACGCTGACTGGTGTATGTGGAGTCAATATACAGACAGCAAAATGGCTTCTTTCGCCTCTGCGGAATTTAGTGTTGCTCAAATTGATCGAGGCGCGCCATAGTGCAGTCAGTGTGGGCGACGCGCAATTCTTTTCAGTGTAGTGGGGTCAACAAAGATACCGATGACACGACAGATTGAATCCCATTGACTGCAATTGTCTGTCATTTTACTCATGTTATTGAATTTGGTTTAGGGAACGTTGGTGCAAACAAGACCTAAGGCACCATGCTTTGTTCTCGGCTCAATAAAGCGAACTTTGAACGCTTGCTGTGTGGGCAGCAATGGCGATAGAAAGCCATGCTGCAACGCAGTTTTGCCCAGTCCGGTAAGCGGATTACGGTGTTTTTGGCCTTTGCCTTATGGTAACCGATGCGTATAATATCCATGTATTTTTCTACAGTGGACTGTCGGTATATGTCCCTAGTGTGTGTCTCCAGTGTGTGCTACCATCAGAAGTGGATGCGGACCAGCTGTAAATGACTTCTGTTTATAGGCGTGAAGTAAGCGGGAATAGCTGGACCCTGAGACGCAGCGGGCAGACTGGGTTGCCTTGCTCTCCTTGACTTGAATATGAAGTTATAACGCTTTGCTGAGATGAAACTTAGTTTTGATTTCTTCCAGATGTATAACACTAGCGTTCATAAATTACTCAAGTGCTTCCGTTAATCTTTTACGCTTTTCAGTGGTACAATTATACAGCTACAAACCTGGATGGATTGCATATCAGGACATATAATTTGTGCTGCCTATATTCGAGTGGATTTAACCCTGTACATTAGGAGCGAAATGCTTCATGGCAGCTAAACCACGCTAGCCCCAGCTTGATAACTTTTACACATAAGTCGTATTTACCTTTGAGGAGGAACCTTTTCCTGTATAACGTGCCCCTGGTGGTCTCGGGCATCTTTTACCTGTGCTCCAATGTATAATTTCCAAGGTTCACATCGATGTGGGATGTGCATCAAAGCGCTAGGTGTGTGTACAATCACACAGGTGCAATAGCTGATAAGCTAATCTCGCGCAATCTGTTGTCGGAGAGTTGATGGATGTCGGCTCTCTGGAAAGAAGCCAGTATCAGGAGCTGAATACAAACGATAAACAGAACAGGAGAGCACAAATTCATCCTAAGTTTTCCAGAGGAACACCGTTTTGGGATTAACCTGGAATCTCTGGAATGCCTCATTTCTGTCAGACAAAGTTACTAAGGAGGAATCGGATAAAGTGCGATACGGTTTTGCGTCTATGTTGAAGCCGTTGAAAGCATCTGGTATTGCTGGAATCAAGGCTCATGGAAGATAATTCCACATCTTGTGCTTGAGTAAACTGAGCCAGTAGATCCGATTTGCATGAATATGGTGACTACATCGCAAGAACGTCGAGAAGAAAGAACCGTGAAAAAGTGAGGCGCGGGATTACGCGTTTATCTGGAGAGGAGCGTCAAGGAACAGGTTTCTGATCAAGTACCACCGCGTGTACGCCCAATATATATATCCCTGGTTTCCGATATGATACAGATATCGCAAGATGTGTGCGCTCACAATAGCACCTATTCTCTCATTGTTTCACCCGTCATCGTGTATGCGGAAAGTGACGCATGGAGGTTGTTCGTAGTTTTAGCTAAGTTCAGTACATGCAAGCATGCCGTTGTATTCTCCGCAAGTGGAGTGCAATGTAATCAAGATCATCAATGACTATAGGTGCACACACCTCGCAACTTGGTTGCGTAAAAGAGGTCATTGAGCATGCTAACAAGGCTGTGTGGCTGAGACGGCGGGTCATCTGATGATGAATGAAATACCTTATACACGAGCGGCTAGCTTCACTGTGCGGATCACAGGAGTGGGCAATATGCGTAAAATGCATCAGGAAGTGAAATGTCTTTGGTCGCTAGTGATTGATTGTCAATACATTTGTCTGGTAGGGATGACAAGTGAATACTGCTGATTCCTCTAAGGCAAAAGCACGCTCCTTTGAACTGCACTAGATCTACTGGTGGAATTGCACTGCCTACACTGCTCAAGGTGCACTATTGTCATACCTGAGAGTCCTGTATCTCTATGGGCTCTTTCCCACATCTGAGTCTAATTGTGCCAAATCCTGGGGTCATGGGTGGATGAGAGAAAAAAAGCATTTTTAACTTAACTCCTTGATTGGGGTTTTGTTGCTGAGCCCAGTAGTGACTGAATAGCATGTCCGATACAATGCAACTGAGGAACCGACACGTTTGTACATTCGACCCCTTGTTTCTCACTGCTGACTCATTCGGTTGATTACAATGTTTATCTTGTGGGTTTTTCTGGCATGAAGATTCGTACAAAGTTGCTTGCTATTGCACAACTGTTAATCTCTATAACTGGGGACCCATTGGAATGTCCAGTGTATCCACGGCTGTATGAAGCGAGTTTCCCTCAAACACTAGTTGGTTTTCTGAGTAATATACTTGATCCTTAGATTGACATCAGTTCACGTAACTCAGTCACGAGCAAATGCTTATAGACAGTAACTTCATCACGTAGAATTTCCAGAGAAACGCAAAAGTTTTACAGTGCCGGACGCAATCTGTTTTTTGAACAATGAATTTATACGGGATAAGAAGCACTGCTTCACAAGTCCAGCTTGGTAGTTTGGTGGGGTTATTGAAAAAATAATATGCAATCAGTTGTACTTAAGTATATAAAAGGACTTATCGGTTGTTCTGCTGTGGTCCTGCAATCCGCTTAGTTTCACAGTAATCGATCTACTGAATGGACATTTAAGTCACTTTTACCAATCTATGTGGAAAATGACTTAAAAATACCCGGACGGGTATGATGGGATATCGCATCACCGCCGACCATAAGAAAGACACGCGGGATATGAATTATTCGCATTCATTCATTCATTCATTCATTATTCATTCGAAAGTAACAGAGCATATACCCGACGGCTGTAGGGCCGTAGATCATATAGTTTCACATTTCGCAGTGCGTACACTCCACCGCAGATTTGCTGTGTGAACAGTGGCCTGATTTATCAGGGTGTCTGCCTACACGATACACGCCAATAGTATCAGGCATCCTCGAATTTCACGCCGTGTACACCGGCGCAGTGTGATTGGGCGCAACCATACAAGCGCAGGGTAACTAGAACTCACCGATGTATGTATTGTGGTCAGCGAGGGACTTTTGCTGATCGGCACACAAGACGCGGTGCTATCAAGATTCTTGCAAGGTCTCCGTTTCCTTGTCAATATCTCTTCTTTTTTCAGGTTAATTGGACGATTACTCTGAAAAATGAAAACGGTACTGGCTTAAATTCAGAGGATATTCGGCTAAAAATTGGGGAAGCGTTACAGTCTAACTAGCTTTCAGCACATAACGCAACCTATGCAGACCACTCAAACTAAGTCAGCTCACGAATGCGCATCACCATCTATCTCGGGAAAATTTGACGCATCCAGCGTAACCGGGCCCAAATTTCCTTATGAATCATCCACATGTAGACCGCGCATGACGGACAAATACGATTTTAGTTACTCCGATGGGAATTTCGACAGCACTATCTGATGAGGAGCCCTGTCTACGCTACAAATGTACTGCCATACGTCTTTTGGAAACGGAATTTAGCCTTTCTCATAGGAGCATAGCTTACAGTATATCACTGGCAACTGCATAAATTATGCCATACAGCGGTGCAATCGTGTGTACCTGCGCATCCGGAAGAGGTACATCAGCGTTTAGCTAGGAATATTAAGCGCCACTGTTGTGTTTTGGAGATTCCTCGACATAAGAGTACGATGTGCGTCATTCTTTTTGCCTGAGAATCTGTTTGTGACCGACTGCGGACCCTAAAATTATACAGTGGTCGGTACCGGCGCCTACGTGACAACTTTATTGTGGCTTACTAGATTCTAAGGAACCCCAACCACATTTGCCGCCACCTACTACAACAGTTACAACAAGAATTTGTGGGGCCACCATTTCAAGTTTGGCACGCAATACAATCATCTAGAATATCGACGGAACTTTTACTCTCCTCCTGTGTGTCAGCCTTGAAATGCCCTCCCAAATTAGGTTGCTTCCACCCCACTTTACATGTGTTTAAAATGCCTTGATGTTGCCCTAACCCACATACACTACGAGATACAGCCTGTGTGCCCCGACAGACGAGATAATGCGACGAAAGTTTCACAACCAGAATTAACCTACACAACTGTGCTTGGCTCTTTCTACCTGCCTCTGTGGTGAATCCACCAGAACGATTTTCATTTTACCCCTTTGTTTTCTATTCACCATGGCGTGGTTCTCTTTTTGACCATCCTACGGGACTAGCTAAGCAACCGCTTTTTTCCCGTAGTATACCATTGTTCGATTGTTTCAATTATCCCATACCTGTACCCCAATTGGTTTGGGTCGGCGAATAGCGTCGCTTGGATCAAGGTCCTGTCACTCGTCCGTTACAAGAAAGTCTCGTTGTAATGTTTGCATGTGCTTCCATATAACCATACACCCAGTGTCCACAATCAATGAGGTTTGTGTTTACAATCGCATCTCCGGTTAGACAGCTTATATCCCCATCCGTCGCGTATTGAATTCAATATGATGCATCAGTACAACTCGCTAACTGCTGAGGAATTTTTCAAATGGGATCGTCGCCTGAACAGAGTTCTACTGGCGCGGAAAATCTTAAGCTCGAATTCAGCGGAGGTAACAGCCAGGATCTCGTCTGAACCGTTGTCTCGAGCTCTCCAACGCTCTCTACGACATGTAGGATCGTGCTGTGTGGATGCATGTTACAGTCACCCCCATTTACAAGGGGGAAATCACGTTGAACCTGTAAACTAACGCCCAGCAACTCTTCTTTCGGTTTTTTCTAGAAGTATGAAATCTGCTACTGCGGAAACCTTCATTGGGATATTCAGAAAGATGAAGTATCATCGTTACGGAACACTATGGCTGCTACTGTAAGCTTTTGTTATCCCGAAACAACTGGAGTGAATCAGTCGATGCGGCGAAACAAACTGCTGCTGCCTGTCTTGATTTAACGAAAGCTGTTTATTGTCAAGATCACCATATTCTACTTTACAAACTTCAGAGCTATTGAATTGATGACCTTATAATGGCTTTGGTAAGTACATTTCTACTCCGACATCGCTTGTAAGTGAGAGTTCGTAGTACCTTGTCCGACCCGATAAAGATACGTTATGGTGTCCCACAAAGCTCTGTGCTGGGACCATGGCTATTCTTGGAATTCGCAAACGCATTTGCTGAAGCGACTGGCACAAATCTTCCACACATTTCGGATGATCTCAAGATTGTTGGTCAGCTTTCAAGATGGTAAACCAGCACATACCACGGCAAGATGACCTCAATAAGGCTTACAAATGGCCAGCTCAGAACATTGCCAAAATTAAAACATCGAGCACGTACGATCGCAGAACTTACGATAATCGGCTAGGAGATCATATGTTGCAGCGCGCTTGTCATGAAAGTGCTCGTGTGTTACAGGTGCAGAACAACTTCGCTTGCTCAAAATAGGCCGAGAGAGCAGCCAAAATAGAGAGTCACCACTTGGGCCACATGCGGAGGGCGTCCGGCCGGTATGGTCCCACACTATTCGCACAAGTGCTCAACGCTTACGTGAGGCAGCATGTGGGATGCCCTATCCAGATGTGGCACCCTGAGTAAAACATGACCTCGCTGCTCTTGAGACTGCACGTCGGAGAGAGTAAAAATGTTGGTGGCTTGCAACTCAAATCGAAGCCCTCGGAATCTTCAGTGGACAATATCGTCGTCTGCAACGTGATCTTATATTACGGGAACAAATCCTAAAGTATCCCAACCATGCGCGCCGGCACTAATTGTAACTCAACCACTACGCCCCCCTGAGCGGCCACCAATCGAATTCGGAAGTATGGCACAATCGGCTGGAGCACCATTGGAATCACTGCTCTCTTCGTACATCCCAGTCGTGGGTCTTTATTTGAAATCCTGCCATCTCTGCTCCCATGCTAAGTAAATTTAAGTGGCAACTTGATGGCGCATTACAACGCTCGAATTACATAAGTTGAACCCAAGTTATTGTTGCAAAGTATGAGGTAAAGGAAATTTGTGTACCCGTGAAACTCACAGCAAGCTGACTAAGGCGCGTTGATTTTTCTTGGTGTAATTAAGTTTATTTGCACTCTTCACCTAAGTGACTCATTCAACATTTGTTTTCCGTACCGTAACAATCCATTGGTCCAATCATTGTACCATCGATTTTCTTATGAAACGTAGTCCAACTATCATGTATGGCTTACACCATAAACCACTGTCACTGTGAATAAATAAGGCTAATGCCGAAGTACAAGATGGCTCCATTGCTACAGGTCGTCATCGAGATTTATTGAATTGGGTCAAATAGTCATTTCACCAATGGGCACTCGTGCTGGATTGACTGCAAGACGACGTGACTTGTCCATGACCATTACTATAAGCTATCCACTCACTCACATCTGTAAGCTTTTTCTTTCCTCTCTGAAAAGCGTTCACTTAACACAGATGGAATTTGTCAATTCAGTGCAAATTAATTTTAATGCATTCGTCCCTGCAGCTCACAACTTGCATAGCACAAGCAAAAAGTGTCAAATTACCAGTTGCGTTTTGCTCTATTGGGGCTCATCAGTGCTGCGCATTCCCTCGGTTCCCTACTGAGAATCGAACTCATGCCTGCTAGAAGATGACCCCAACTAGCCAGCAGCTTAAGCCAGTGTATGGCATTCTCCCCTGCATCAGCTGTTGCTCTCTGCTTGCTCGCTTTGAAATATTAAAGGCCATCGTTCCACTTCTGTTTAACTGCCCGTGCGTACAACTGGTTGCTTTTCTGCCCGACCTAGTCACTCCTTGTACAACTGGCTCTCTGCCTGAATGTCCACTGATCTGTCGATTTGTCTGTTTGTACAACCGTCAGCTGCCAGTCCATCTGTGTCTACCCTGCCACTCTGCGTTCGACTACGATACTTTCAGGATACGGCAAATTCTTACTGTCATCCGGATGGCGTTTCATTCCTGAACTCTACTTTTGGCCACAAAATCCCGCTGTCGAACGTTCATCCTCGAATGTGTATAATGAAGATAAACAGAAATAAGTTGAACCATTGGCACTTGGTGCTGGCCGTCCTAGCTTATAATGCCCATCCAAACTACAACTGGTGTTGCCAACTGCCAGGTTACTTCGTTTGCTGATGAAGCATTCGTTGCCCAACTAATAGGACTATGGAAGTAGCATTTATCTCCCTTACGGTCACATTCTGCTCTAGATATGCTCCCGCACTTACTCTCCCAATTCTCACCACACATCTGTGTGTTTACAGTCATTCGAGCCAGCTTCGTTTGCGCTATTTGGGGCATTTTATCTTTTGGATCCAACTTGTACGGATCACCTTCACTTCCACATCGCAGTGTTTGCAACCCTCTCGCAGAAACACACACGCCCGTTTTTTCAAGCCAGGAGCAGCACAACATTTGGGGACTCAAACGAAAGTTAAATCCGAGACATACAAAGCAAGTTATCAACCAATGCCGTAGACTACAGAGTGAAGAAGCCATCGGACTATGTGTATTCGGCCACTTTGCTTGTACCTTTGAGCAACTATTGGGAGGGCTACACCTGTGCTTAACCTGCTCCGCAACGTCTTGTGACATGTCGCGAAGCGCTACGGACGCAATGACCTTCACCTTCAGCGTGAGGAACACAGCCAATCAAGCCTTCAGCCATCTACCTGAGAGGCGCAGACGGCTAAAACACGCTGGTGAAATGGGTTATAACGACCCAAAAACCGCACTTAATACTGTTAACATGAGAGGCGTCCGCGTGCGTGCGCCAACTTCGTGGCAGGAAAATGTACGATCAGGTATCCAGTGTCCGGGTTGCCTTACAACTTCCATCAATAGTGTACCAAGCTCACCACAAGCGAGGTTAAGCTGACCATAGCAGGCCACTCTCCGTGGGTTGTTTTCAGCTTCAGATATTTGCATGTGGATGGCGTGGTGAGTCCACAGATGTGCGGTTTGCTTTGTTGCCAAATATTTTGGAGTTGCGCACTTCATACAGATATCGCACGAGCGTTTTAAATTCTTAGATTTTCGTCCGTATTATACCACTACTCCAATCTCCTGTTGCTCGATGGATTAATCTGGGGTCAGCATTTAACAAACGTTATCCTCTAACAGCATATCACCAAATGTTACACTGAGTCTTGTGGCTAATACAAGGTTGCTAGGAAAATGTGGACTCTCCGAACTAACCTCTACAAACTTCCGGGCATGTTACCTTCGTTCGCTGTGTTACGAAGATCACCTAGATTAGCCACATCGTAGAAATGGAATTCAATACGCTTCGACTTCCACTATGCGTCACTCATGTTGGACTAGAGTTGTTTAGTTCCTAAAATGTTTTTTGGTAAAAGTTACCTAACAACCGAGTAGTATGTCTCAAATTGGACGGACGTGGTGTATTTTTGTTGAAACACAATATAGGAATAATCTGTTGGCAAATGTCTTGATAACTAGCCTACCTGACCCAGGAAAACGCTAAACCAAGTAACACGTACGCAAATGACTAGATAGGCAGAGAAAATCCCCGATGGTTCGCAGGCTGCCTTTTATCTCGAGACTGGGGATGCTGATTGCGATAGCTTTGTTTCGTTTTGTTCACGAAAGCTGTGGTAACTGTGCCCACGGGCATCTGTGGATTTGCTAGTTTGTTAGGTCGCCCTCACCTCCCGCCAGTACAAGGCGTCCGCAACACTGCGGCTGCACTCATTTGTCTTATCCAGCCAAGTGAAGCTCCACATCTCCTTTCTTCAGTTCAGGAATTCTCTCAAAGTCTTTGTAAGGTCGGATGGTCAGTACACTAAAAGATTTTCGAGTTATCTCAAATATTTTTACCTAGGATGGGTCTCACTTCATTCAGGTAACTCGTCATCCAACTGTGCTTTTAGCACAATATTCGTAAAAGGACCATTCGAACAGTACTGGCTCTGAGTTTCAGTGCTGGCATAGCATAGAAAAAGTTATGTAAAGGACTAAGAGATACTGACGGAATACGAGTTCAAATGCAGTGAGGTCGTTCCCTGCCGTTGTCATGCAACGTCACCAAGTGGTTACCAAGACTGGATGCAGATGAAATCGAAGACAGCATGTTAAGTTCGCCAATATACTTCCAAACATAGACCATGAAAAGGTTTTCATCAAAAGCAATTGAGACATTCGCACATCATCACCCACCTTGTGTAGCCTAAAGTACAAACCACATGCGTTGCACACCGGATCTCCATCTGCATTACGCCGCCACAATGTGGTGGAAGAGGTCCCGCAGTTGACACATACCTGGCCGGATCGCTTGATCGATTGATTCAACTTCATCTGCAGACGCAGAGATGAGAGTGATTGGAAAAATTGGTACTCTGCAAGTCACATAAAGCACAGTATCATTGTGTCACAAAGCATGCAAGCGTTGACAGACAGCTCGGTTGAAAGATCACAGGTTGACAAAACAACCGGGCTCCGACTCTCAAACAATCCGCTTAACCTCCAAAAGACAGTAGGAATACCATCAACGGAAAAGTTCGATGCGGTTACCCTGTGTACGGTAGATTTTATACAAGCTACAACACTGAACTTTCCCACTGGTTCAGTAAACTTCGTCCGCATCATCACAAATTCAGGAGCGCTGTTCCAGGTTTGATGTCATGGATGGGACAGATCAGAGTGGACGAAACGAATTTAGAGGAACAATCCAAGCAATTGCTCAAGCCATCTCTAACAGCCCATCGATAGTATACTTAGCTTATCGTGATGTTCTCTGTCAAGGTGTGTTGCTCAATTGATCACTGATAGGTGATTCTGAGGCGTGTCCGCAGAGAAGTGGTTACTGTGTTTCACCGTATCGATTGCCAACTTCCTTCGCAGTAAAACGCGTCGTTTTGTGGTTGCGGTTATGTGACATGACTATGTTAATATATATGTATATATATGTATATATATATATATATATATATATCAAACTTGACCAATTACAACATAATTGCCTGCGTGCCACAATATATATGAAAACGATAGCGTGAAAGGGAAAACAACTGTTAGGGTAGAAGAGTCTCACAGCAAATGTGCCATTGCGTACGGCCCTTGGCCATATCCTCCAGTGTTTACTACCAGATATGCTGATGGCCCTTAGGTCCCCAACCCGAGAGTCAGGATAGCTCAACAACAACCAGCTTCAAAGTTTGTGCTTTAACGCGTTGGATCCAAGTTATACATTACCCTCCTTTTCGTCGCTTCTAACCTACGCCTGTGCTCGCAAATAGGGCTCTTCTTAGTAGTCGCTGAGTAGGCATGCGGAGCACATGTCGAAGCCAGCGAAGCCTCCGCAGTGAAATGATGCTATCAATCGGTCGGCGGAGTTCGCTAGATCTGGAGACTTGCCGATGGACTTCCTCATTACTGATGTCATGCTGCCATCGAACACCAGCAATGCTTCGCAGGCAGTGGTGATCGAAGACAGATAGCCACTGAACATCGCTTTTGCGAAAGGGTCAAGTCTCAAAGCCGTAGAGCAGAATCGCTCGTACCGCAGCATTATATACTCGTCCCTTGAGAACGAGGCTGAGGTCACGATGAAGCCACAGGTGACGAAGTTTAGCGGATGCGACTCTAGCCTTGGAGACACGGAGGGTGTCCTCATCTGCCAAACCACCAATGCGAAGACAACTCCTAAGATAAATGAATTTGTCGACCACTTTCAACGGATGTCCCGAAAGGGTGAGAGAAGGACATGGACTTGGCCAATTCTGTAATAGGACCTTACATTTGGAAGGAATCAACCCAAATTGGGAGGCGGACATCTCCAGTCTGGGCAGCATACGCTGGTAGGCTTGGGAGGACTCGTAAAACACGGCGATGTGATCGGCGTACTCTAAGTCCCGAAGACAGTCACCAGGGAGCAGTTCAACACCGCAGGACTCAGAGTTATCCAAGGCAGTATCCAGGACCTCGTCCATGGCGAAGTTGAACAAGAATGGAGAGACTGGGCAACCCTATCTAACACCGCTAGTGATACTGAAAAGGGGCGAAATGTCTCTGTATGCTCGCACGCGGCCCGAAGTTTGATGCTAAATAACACGGAGGATGCTGATGTAGTTCTCAGGTGCTCTCCTCTTCAGTAAGCAGTTCCAAAGAGCCACTCTGTCAACAGAGTCAAAAGCGGCTCGAATGTCCAAGAATATGACTATACTTGGTCGACTGAACGTATGGCGATGTTCAAGTATCTGGCGGGTGGTAAAGATGAGATCGACGCAAGTGCGACCCAGGCGTAATCCAGCTTGTTGTTCACGCAGGTGCTGTTCCCGTACGCAACTGAGTCTCCGCAACAGTAGGGTAGCGAGCGGTTTGGATGCGACGCAAATGAGACTGATGCAACGATGTTTGAAGCAAATGATCCAGTCTCCTTTTTGTAAACAGGTACAACATCCACTAAATTCCAGTCAGATGGAATGGTTTCAGTAGTCCAACTCTGATGGAATAGAGATGTCAGTTCGCGAGTGAGAGCAGGACCTCTATATTTGAAGAGGGCAGGATGTTAATACGTTCCGAGTGTTTGCCTACTAGCTTACTTACACCCATTTGCTAGACCGTGCGCGATTGGATACTACACTTGGCTGGCTACCCCTTTTACAGAGGACTTTTCAACCGGCAAACTCATTCCGAAGTAGCCACATCTATATCATACGTCAAATATGTTATACGAATAGATAACAAGCAAGAACACACCACACTTCAGATGTGAAAAGTATGTAAGTTAGCATCTTAAGTAGAAAGTTACATGACAATAGGAGCTTCGGAGCTAGTACGGTGTCGTGTAAGACCCTCAAGTGGTCACCACCTTCCGAGTAGAAACCGTAGAAGTTATATCGTGCTTGGTGCGAAAACCTTCTTCGGGCACTTACAAATCCACTAGGCATTCGTTCCGTCCTATCTGAAGTTGGTAGCATCGTTAGCTGTCTGAGTGAACGTGATGGTCAGTAATAGCACTGAGGAATTATAGGATCACTATGATTCCTCCAGAGGGTCAGAACAGTGATCCGATCCTTAGTGAGGAAATCCGTGCGCCCGGGAAATAAGCCTGTACTATGCACGATTTGTCACAGGTCTGACACCGAATCTGAGTCACTCATACTGGTTTATGGTCTACTGCGGATCTTAAACACCACGCCATAGGAAGGCGGATGATTCGAGTCCATTTGGTTCATCGGATATGTGTATAAACGAGGCATCCTGGATGAACGTCCAGCACATTCCTGTCCTGTGACAGCTGTTTACCTGGGTTTAACTACAGAGGATTTTCCTTTTTACTGGGCTTATGAATCTGTGTGCTTGGCACGGTGTGTGTGGCACTTCGCAATGCCAACCGACGAGGTTTGCTTTACCATTGATTGTGTTCTGGCCCATGAGAATCTCGACAATAGTCATTCAAAATGGCAAGACATGTGTTATCTCACTCTGGGGTTATATCTACCTATATTTGACAGCGTCGTCCTATGGCTTCAGAGGTGAACTTCAACCGGAGATATTTACGGAATGCCCACGTTCGCGTGGCACTATTTGCAACGCATGTGGCTACCCCCGTTCAACTCGAAACGGGTAAAAACTGAGATGAATCAAATTGCGAAAAATGCAAATGCGAACCAACGCTTTGAAAGAGACGGCACACCTTCGTATGCATGAATCCCGAAACAGCGAACTTCTGTAACCGTTCCACTCGGGTCATCAAAACGTCATTTCACTGCAGACGCAGGTAAACCATGCGGCGAAATCTCCGCGTATGTGGTCCGTATCGAATCGGTGACGGTGAATAAGGTGTTGACATGCAGATACATTTGTGATATTGTAGCACAATGAATCAAACGGATAGTACTATACAAAGTCTTTTTAAATCTCACTGCCAATGGTTATCATTCATCTAGCTTAAATTTCTCGCAGACAATAACACTGTGAGTCCCATTACGGTTGTCTGTTGAGCGAACACAAGTGCTAGATCGGTTGTGACGCACAATGTGAGTAATGTTGAACGGCTGACGTTCGTTCCACTCTATTGTTCGTCTGTACTATTGAGTGGCAGCTGTTACGCACAATACGCTGACAGAGAGCAAACTCAGAGTACATAGATTTCTAAAGGGTACAATCACTATAATTACCTACCAGTCTGGACTCATAATGCGGAAGCTGTTTCTCCGAGTTATGTCCACGAGACGCAACGATGTCTCTTCGAGCGATTTCATTGGGATAATTGGCGTTGTTTTTCACCATGTCAGTTGCCACTAATTAAACATAAACAAATACGCATAAGGACAGGACAACTGTATCAAAATAGACGTCTTTAATTTGCAAAGATGAAGTGGTTGTGTAAATTAGACAAATTGCACGCACAAGTTGTGTAGCACATTCTCCTGTGAACGAGCAGTTAGGTCTCTATTAATCAAGGAATAAACTTCAGCAAAATGCATTTTCCACCCAGTACATTTCAGTGCGATGACATCTTGAATTTATGAACACATTCTGTTCCAGCAGCACTTTTCGACGACTCTGACTCTTCGGTGCAACAGGCATCATCACAGCCATCGCCGCAACCACAGACCAGTCACTTCGCTCCAGCGGAACCGACAATCTCAACCGACAGCACTCTTACCTTACTAGCAATCGACTCGGTAGGAAGCTTAGACCTCTAGTTCGTTTTTCGGACTTCGTTAACTTTTGCTATTTTACATAGAACTTGCCTCTCAAATTTTTTGCTCTTACCAAACGTTTTCCAAAAACTGCACAAAATACCGAAACGTTTTGAAACTATCAAGAGAGAGCATAAGTTTTGAAAGCCCAAAAACAGATTCGCGCGATTTTCGCTTTGCAATCTTTTGTATATTGCTATGCATTTACGCTGCTCTTTTTCGTTTTATTTACCATATACACTGTCAGTTGATTGCTGCTTACTTTCACGCCTCGCTGAATCCCCGCACTTCAACTGGAAGGGGAACGAAGTTCCTGACCAACCACTACGTGAACTTTACTTACTGTCCCCCACAAACAGTTTTTTACCGTTTCGGCACCGTAGGGAGGATAAAAGGGGGGACCGCTAGGGTCCGATAGCATGGTTCTCCCCCAGCAGCTACATCAAGTTTCACAACCTCGTCTCGCAGAAGGCTGCCGCGCGACGGATAGTCCTCACGTAGATCGAAGGATTGCTTACACAGTCCATTCTGGGAGAGGGCTATGTAGCAGTCTGGAGATTCCCCGGTTTGCCTGTGTAAAATTCTAACTAAAATTATTTCATTGTACACCTAGGCTACCGATGCAGATTGTGGAACTGGTTGTTGAGTTCGATTGCTTAGGTTGAACATCGCCACTTTTTGCTTGGCGCTGGTTTCGGTTGCAACGCACGAGTGCGTGCTGTGCTTTTTGCGTCCCCTAGCTAGAGAGTCAACGGTATCGTTCTTTTATAACTAGGCAACAGGGAACCTTTTACTGTACAAATAAAAGGTTCCCTGTAATCTGATCTGTCTTTTGGAATAGTTCTCCTGGCTCCTGCCACATGCTACTCGCTACAGAACGGGCCACGGTCCAACCATGGCTCTTACGCATGATTCCCAACTTAGACAGAAATGTGCCTGTTGAAGTAGTGTGGGCCGACTCCGTTGATGGAACGCTGCTCTCATCCAAATGCTTCCCCGTCTTATTACTTCGGATTTGCATTACATATGGTGTGTTTGTATGGAGCTGTGGGTGGTGTCGAGTAAGCCAGCCAAGGTCGCTGAGTAGGCGCAGGTGTCCTGTGGTTGTCCTATGGAGGCCGCAGTGACAGAAAATTCCGGTACAGGATGCAGCCAACCGTGTATCAGATCCGAACGTTCTCAGTAGAACCACCCAGCTGGGGGTGTTGCGTGTGATTCGCTATACAGGAGCACATTTCGTGGTACTCCAACAGCGGCGGACAAATGAGCTTACATGCGGAGCATATCTTCAGTTTTGAATCCATTTGAAAGATTTGGGAACCGCGAAAGAGATGTGCACTCCTCAGGACCGTATGCTGTCGGAACCTCGTTCAGAGGAGGCGGCGCATGTTTCTTCGGCGTCCCCTCGGACCGGAGACAAAGGGACTTCATGTGGTACCATCTGACTCGGTGTAACTGCTTCCAGCACTTGCTGAGGGCCACCAGTACAGACCAAATGTGTTCCATGGAAACAACTGGACCTATTGGGTTTTCATTAAAAGTTACTGCAAACCCAGCAATCCAAGCTAGTGGCTTTACCAAAATGGTGTGCTGAGGCATATCGCGCGACGCATGTGTACTCCACTGCCCTCACTACTTTCTCGAGTCGCTTAACGCCTCTGATTACTAAGTCATTTCTCCGATTCAACAGATGCAAGCAAAAGCAGTACCTTCGAGGGCGGAAACCACAAGTGCGTACCAAATTAATCAACTAGTGCAAGAGATAGGTGCATGATTTCTGAAAGTATGAATGCTTCTCTGTGAGTAATCCGCACACTGCTTTCGTAGATGTTCCCTTTGTGAAATTCGGATCAGTTTGCTATAATCAGACAATCTAGGAAGTCATCAAACTCTTTGCTATCGGCTACCTAGATACTTGGTAATGTTGAGCAGTGTGGCTCATTGGAACTACGAACAAAACTCGGTAGATAACGGTAATTCGGTTATTGTGTTAATTGTGCATTGGGGCTTTATAGTGGTGCTTCGCTGACATGCACACTCCAGTACTTGGACTCGAACTGGAACACTGTGCGTTGGACTCGAACCTGGAGCAAAGGAGCTACAGTCGGATGCCTAAATTAGAGATCCTGATTGCACCGCGGCTTAAAGTAAAAATGTTCGCCGGATGTATGAGACATGGGTCGTGTACAGTGGAAGCGATGCGATGAAGCGATGGGTCTCTTGAATGGAAGCCGCGAGAAAACACTTTGGATTCGTTGGGAGGCCTGCTTTCATGCCAACTCTATATACAAAGTGAACGGTAAATTGAGTTATGGAACAAAGATTAGCAACCTACGCAGCGATAGTCTGACCGATGTTTAAGGTGTGATCTACTACGGTCTTATCTACGTCGTAGATAACCCCTCCATACTGTGGATTTTCATGTCTTAGATTCAGTTACACTGAAATATTTGATGTGAGGATAGTAAGTCCAGTGCACAAGGAGCGACATTTTCTTCGCACTTCTAGATCTAGCATCTGCGTATACATACAAACTAAAACATTCCGCATATTAAATTCCGAATTTGAACTTCGCTAGGCAAATAGCTTTGAAACATATAACATTCAGATATGTATGTACCTAAATGCGGATTCCCCACCGGTGCTTGTACGTTTCGGCCGAAGGAATCTGGTGGTACTGGATGCTGCTTTGTCTGAGTAGTACCATTGCATCCGCCCATGGAATAGATCTGCCTTGGAGAAACGAGACGTCTCTGATCGGGGATGGCGGTGCGCTTCTCCAGCGGACGTCGAATGCAGTCGATGCACAACATCATTCCAGACCTTGGGTCCAGCTCCCAGGCCCAAGGATCCGGACTACTGCGGCCGCATTGCACACACTGGTGGCTTCCGATGTCGAAGCGGCTGATTACGTTTGCATCTGTAACAACGGAGAAATTAATTCGTAAAGGTGGTAGGCAAGACGAGAGAGTAGTGCAAGCAACGGAGTACAAACGGGTCAGGCGATGCGCCTCAAAATAAACAACAATACGTGTGAGTAGATGGTTATGAGTGGCGTGTGTGTGTGTGTGCGAGTGCGGACGCGTATGTGCGTGTTTTTATACTTCTCCTATTTCAACTGAATGCACTCACAAGTAATTCGGGACAGATACTTTTGTGTAGCTTCCAAAAAAGCTGCCATAAGCCTACGCAACCTCATGATGTGTTAGCAAGCAATGGAGCTGTTAGGTTTAGCTACTCATGAAGGCTTCGGTTGAACGGTTGTGGTACCCAGCTTACATAACCTGGCCGAAGTAGAGCCAGAGCTTGCGCGTCCTGGAAGAAACCAATGACGCTTCGTATCAAGTCACAACCCTAGCAGTAGCCGGACACACCCACATCAACCCACTTACTGTCCAAACCCTGGTAAGTAAACGCTTAGGTCCTAAGCACGGGTAAACTCAAACAGACGTTGAACAAGCAAAAGCACCATAGTATGCTGCTGGTAGGGCCGCTACCGTGAATCAAATTGGTTTTCATTACTAAGCACTGAACACCCTGTAATCAGAGCTCGTGGCATAACCAATTTGTTGTGTTTAGGCATATGTCGCGACGCATCTTTACTCCACTGCTCGCAATACTCTCTGGTACTGCCTACCAGCTCTGCTTACGAAGTCCTTTCTCCTTCGCCTAATCAGCAGCTTGGCGTCGGAAGTCACAAGTGCGCACAATGCGGCAGCCGTAATCCAGATCTCTGGACACGGAAGCTGGACCCAAGGTCAGGGAAGATGCTTTGCATCTAGTGCAGTCGACGTCGACCGGAGCAGAGTACCTCATTCAACGATCAGGTACTTCTCTGCTACAGCAATGTCAATCGCTATCCTACTCAAAAAATCAAATGTGTGCTCAAAAGCAACCAGTATATTCCATCCGGTTGCTCTGGCCACCAGCCGCTCACGCTATGTTACCTGATTTCACATTGAGTAGACCAAGAAGTTTCTTATATTGATTAGTAATTTCGATCCCTTTAATCATCGCCTGAAGATGGGCCACTGAAAACAAGTTCGTTCGCTACCTCTTACTTTAGATGTGTATTTATTTCGTCTAGGACGCTTTGTTCGATGCAAGTTCACCTCCTCTCTCGTATCTCTGAACAACTAAACGGATAGCTGGGGAAAGAAAGCCATACCGGCAACCAGAAAATATAGATAGAATTATTCCGTCGCCTTGGTTTGTTTGAGGGAACGGGTCAGCTAACTGCCATATTAGCAAATGTAGTTGAATGCTGTTCGGGCCAAGTGCACATTTTACTGTCGCAATCTAAAAAGCAGTACACATCTACTTGGGTTCTGCTGAGATTTATAACATTTCGCTTCCACTAATTTGTATCATCTCTTGTTCCTTTAATTTTGTATAAACACTATTGCTCTATTGAATCGGCTTTACTCGTGGTCTAGCTCCTCGCTTTGATTTCACTGTCCGAATGGTTGGAAGCAGTTGGGTGCGCTGTGTACCGGTGCATAGGTCTATGGCTTAGCCTTTACTTGTCTCCGCACCTCGACCGGACCGTACCGGACATCCTCGCCGAGTACCATCATCAAATGGTTTAATCGTATTCTCACGTAACTTGTTAGACTCAGACATGTCCGTTGGACCAATACCGATTGAATTCTTGAGACCTTGTACAGTCGCCCTCATCGACCAGCGCACTAAGGTAGGGGTGCGAACCAATGTCGAATCCACTATGAAAAGAGTAGAAGCCAGTTACCTCCCCAACTGTGCATATGTTACGCGTGCTTTCATCAAAAGGGCTTAAGTGAATGACTATCGAATCGGTTCATTTCAACTAAATTAGTCTAATCCGAAGATTTAAATGGGCTAAACCCAATAGCTTTTTGTACCGCCGAGCCTAAATAAGAAGCACTCATTGATTGAATGGAGGAGAGTGAAACTAGGAATGAACATCAATTCGGCCACCGGGACCGTAACTGTGAATTGCGCACAATGAAACGATGGATCAATACGGATAAATAAGGCTAAGGCTAAGGCAAAATAGGAAAAGGTGTCAACAAAACTGGGTTCCCAAGGGTGGACTCATCGCGGTATACATGTTTTAAGTTGAAAATCCACTATAAACCCATAAGGAATGACGACGAATGGGATGTTGATAAAAATCCTGCCACTTCCTGTGGCACACACACATGAGGTGAAAAGATAGCATATATAATGGGGTGTTGACCGGCAAGGAAATCTTTAACAGACACTTCTGTTTAGCCATGGGCAATGAGCCATGTGAGATGGTGCAGCGAAGTGAATGCGCGATCAGCGTGGGAACACGGATGACATATTCCGATTAGGCATTCCACGCCTGGCAAACACGTACGGAAAAGAAATTCCGACGGCATTCTAAATGACTGTATCGCTCTGCCAGCTTGCAGTGTGGGACTTTCAGATTACTGTTTTGACTGAGCTGTAGCAAATGGTGGCATGTGTGGTTGGGATCCTCTACAATCTGGTAAGTGTAAATAAGGTTCTCAAGCAACCGCTGGTATAGTCCACTGAAGACCCCGAGTAATCCAAGCGTTTGTTCATACAGCAAATGACATAAACCTTTGATATTCTTTGTTGCTATGCATTGCGGTACTTCTAAGGCGCTGAGGTCTCTCCTCAGCTCTGGCTTCCACCTGTATTGCGTATTCAACATGTGGATGTAGGTATTGGCCGAAAAGCTGTTGAAAAAGCTACGGGGCGATTCACTTGAATGTACGCACAAGGAAACCCACATTTGGATGTGCCTTCGAGACGACTGTTCAGCCTGATTCAAATATCCAAGGTCTTTCTGTAGCGAAGCGCAAAGCTCATTTTTATCGGAAGACGTTTGCAACACCCAGTTTCCCATTTTGTAGCAGCAAGCCAGATTGTACAGCGGTCAATATCGGTTGGAGCATATTGCTTGCGCTGGATATTCGCCGCATCCTTCGGGATCTCTTTTCCATCTTACGTAAACTGTTTACGTGTTGATAGAGCTGCTTGTGATTTGAGAATGTATGCATTGCCGACTTGTTGGTATGCCATTATGT